TTAGTCAGGCTTCTGTGCCTTTATCAAAGAGATTAATGACATCTCTATAAATGGAAATGCAAAATGTGGAAGAGTGGTGCTGCTTTCAGATTATACAGTCTTAAAAAGTACAGGGTATTTGCAGCCCTATACATCATTTATTAATTTTTGTTTGTTTTTTTTGGTCACAATGGAATATATTTATATAAGACAAAGAGAAAAATTAAATCTCCTCTTTAAAGGTCATGAACTGGTGACCTAACAATGTCATTGGGCATTCAATCAGTGGTGGCTGACCAATAGAGGTCGCTAGGGTGCTGCCCCACCCACCCAATGACCTTGATTAAGACATAAAAAAAGGAAATAATAATCAAATTATAAAATAAAATTTTTTTTAGTAAATTTTTGGTGACATATTTCCACCCTAGGGTGCAAAAATCTTTGGCTTGTTAAAAGTTGTACATGCGCAGTAGCTCCTCTGCGATACAAATGTATACAGTAGGAGAGCTTGGGGTGCAGAAAAGCTGTGCCCTCAGCTGACAGCACAGGTGTCAAGTAACGAAGTACAAATACTTCGTTACTGTACTTAAGTACACTTTTTAGGTATCTATACTTTACTCCATTACTTATTTTTCCTCCTACTTTTGACTTCTATTCATTACATTTTCACACAAGTATCTTTACTTTCTATTCCTTACCTTTTTAAAACAAACGTTACTTGTTACTCTTGGCTTCGGTTTAAAGCAGAGGTCACGGATTAGCGGATTTTGTCTGAGGTAAAGCTGATGTATTTGTTCTAGTCTCTTGTTATTCACACACAACAATAAACAGTGTTTAGCCGACGTGGGTTTTAAAACTGCAAAGCTTTGTCTTCAACTGAAAATCAAACGCGCATCTACACAGACCAGTGTGATGCATTCGCGACCGTCAGACAGCTATGGTGCATTCAGGAGCATGGGACATTTCAGACTTACAAGGAAAGAGACAAAAACGGAAGAGAACTCATAAAATAATGTATTTATTTAGAAACAGTGTGGGCTTTCTTATAATACTGAATGCCCTATAATTGTGTTTGTTATTTTTTGATTATGCACATCTGCTAACTTTTTATGCTAAAAAATCTATAATATTACAGCAGCAAATTATCAAAGTTTTTCAAAAGCCTGTTTAAAAGCTCCAAATGAGGCTTCGGATCATACAGCGACAATTGCCCTGTCGTTGTTTTACAGGGCAGAACAAGTGTAAACTCCTCTCAGATAGAACAGGATGCAATATTTGGCAATTTCTATTTTTATTTTTTCATCTTTTTTTTTTTTTTTAGTTCAATGTAACATGAATGCATAAATATGTCATTTTATTTCAGTGTTAAATTCTGTTTAAAGTAACAGATCATTAAAAATGTCTCCTGACATTTACTGGTTGATTTTCTTTATTCGGACCCCACTGATTTTTTATTAGTTACCCGTGGTTTAATGTTTCTAAATATATATTTCACGTCATGTGCTCCATCCAATGCAGATCATTGGTGCCATCCACATCTAGTGAAAACTAGTGTAATTGGATGAGTCATAGAACGCAAACACTCAGTGGTTAGCTAAAGGAAATCATCACAAGCAAGCAGGTGTTCTTCAAACTGTAAACATGAATTGTCTATGCCATGCTACAATGTGGGATTCAGAAAAACATGTCTAAATGTCTGAAAGGTCGGACACAGGCGAGAGCGTATCCGGAGATGGAGACGGTGACCAACAAGACCTCCCTCATCCTTGGCCCTATCTCAAAGAATTTTTTGAAATAGTGGAAAAATTGTGCTTTCAATTCATATAATGTTATCTGGCCTTTTTCTTAAAGGTTACTTTATACTTTTAAACTTTAAGTAGTTTTTGGAGCACATACTTTTTCACTTTTACTTGAGTAATAAGGTCAAGTTGATACTTCTACTTTTACCAGAGTGTTTTTAAGCTGCAGTATCTATACTTCTACTTAAGTAACAAATGTGTGTACTTTTGACACCACTGGCTGACAGGAACAGTCGTCACAGTTGTAGTGCAGCTGATTGACAGCTCCAGTCATGGAACTGAAGTCCCTTAAAGCAAACATAAAAAGAGAAGCTGGAGGTGAAATTGTTTGGACCTGATCAGCCGAACCTCAAAATTAATCAGCAGTCCAAAGACAGATGGAGACTGTTCACTCTGTCCTTTTCCAGGACTTGATTTAGCTACAAGGCTTGGCTAACTGTATGTAGTGAGGCTAACGCTTTAATCTGCTTTCCCTGCCTCCTTTTCAAACGTCATGATCTTATCCAGCATGGATAAAGACAAGTAGGACTGATTTAAAGCACTTTGTAGAAAAGGCAAAGAAGAATGTACAATCTGGGATTCACATGGAAAACAATGTAATACAGAGTACTTTTTCTAGTTGTTTTTTAATTTGCATTGTTGCTCTTAAATAAACACATTCTCAGAAAATAGTTTTTATATATTAGAAAAAAATATAACTAATAGCTTCTCCATATTTGAACTGGTACATAACTTTTTTTTAGGTTTTTGACACCATATTGGACAATGCAAAACAAGCATCTGATCAGTGCTATATATACTGCTGCAGGCAGACAGATCCCAGGAGTACAGTAGACAGTTCCCTGAAGCTGCACAAAAAACCACCATGGAGGCTTACACTGCTCAACAAGAACAAGCTGAAAACATAGCTGGCTCTCTTCTACAGCAAGGATGAGCTCAAGAGCTGTAGTGGTGCTGTGGCTCTGTACCAGCTCTTCATGAGGAGCAATCTTCAGGACACCTTCTCAGAGACTGTGGCTCTGCTTAAGATCCTCATCACAATTCCCATGACCACAGCTGAATGTGAGAGGTGCTTCTCAACACTGAAGACTATTAAGACCTTTGTCAGGAAAACGATGTCACAGCATTGTCTCAATGCCCTGGCCATGCTCTTCATGGACAAGAACCTAATTAAAACCATCCCTTACTTCAACCAAAGAGTCATTGAGAAATGTGCTTCTCTTAAGGACAGAAGGGCAAATTGTATGTACAAAAAACTTTGTATAATTTCCCCTTTACATGAAATTATCCTTTGGTTTTATAGTGCTTTTATAATATTCTTTGTTGTTGACATACATATAAATATACTAGTGCGATAACTTAGTATACGTCTGATTCTTTGTTGGTATATATCTATTTTACTATTTTAAATTTATAGGCCCCCCTGGAGAAAACTCCACCAGCCACCACTGGATTTAATGGTAAGAGTTTTATTGGGTCATCCAGCTCTTAAAGCAGCAAAGCAAACTCAGATCATGGAGCTACCACAATCAAGATTTGTATGGTGTTTGTTTGTTTGTTTTTTAATCTTGGATAAATTGTTCAAATTTTTTTGAAAGATTTTCAGTAGGCAAGCCCAGTTCCATCTTCTGTTAATGAATGATGGCTGGAGTCCCTAAGGATTAGAATTTGTTGAAAATACTTTTTTGTTCCCAGTCCTGCAGTCCAAAACACATGTTTGAATATATTACCAAGTATATAAGAGTTGGAAAAACATAAAACATAATAAAAATAAATAAATGGTTACGTTTTTGCATGTAGGGCTTGTGAAACTATATTCTAAGCCAAGTTAATGGTTTTATTTATTTACAAATTCAAATTCTCACCCTTTACAATGTTCCTATTGAAAATGGGATCCAACAGCTACCCCACTTTTAAGTAATACAAAAAACATTTCCAGGTAATTATAAGAATAAAAAGTTTTATATTAAGGGTTTATGTTTATCGGTGAGCAGAGTAAGTTTATAGACGAAAGGGTAAAAAATATTTTGGAAGTGAACTATCTATTAGATGCTAAGTTGCTCATTTATATACACAATGGGGCTCAACATCATTTAAATATTTATTTTTTTATTTTATATTTAAAAACAATAACACAGTCCAAATATATAACAAGTTTTTGAACAAAATCTTTACTTCTTTAATCTTGTTTAAAAATGGCTGAATTTGTCTGATATGTAAATAATTTTTGACTTAGCAATGTATAATATAAAACAAATGACAATTTAGGAGTTTTTAGATTTGAAAGTTGTTCTGTTTTCTCTGATCTCAAATTCTCCACAGCCTGAAACGTGAACTTTACAAGACAACAAACAAAAGGAGAAAATAGTTAATCTGATTGCAGACTGACTCTCTGGCAGGCTCAGGAGTTGACATAGCAACCGATGCACCCTGGCATGCTTCATAAGAAACGTCGGTGTTACTGGAAAGCGTAACGTGTGACTGAGGCTAAAAATACTCAGCCCTCCATCACAGAAATGTGCTCCTTTAATTTCTTCCAAAGGAGGAGGCAGAGAGATGGTGAGCATCAGCATGTTTGGATACAAGTACTAAACTTAAAAAAAAATAAATAAATCGATATAAGAAATAATACATTAAAAAATAAATAAAACAGCAAAACAATTAGAAATACAGGTCAAGTCACAGGTACTAAAGAAAGAGAAATCTGTAATCATATCATGCCTCCTGACATTGCTGTAATGCAGGTAAAAAATATGGCTTGTTTTGATTTAGTATTTAAATATAAGAATGTAAATTCTACTAAATGAGAGTAAAAAGCATTAATAAGACAAGTAATAAAGCAAGACTGTTATTAAACTCTAAAGTTCCCTGGTTACTCTCTAAAGACAGGTGGCAGATGTTCAGAGGTCTACCTTGGTGAGTAAATTTCCATCTGAGTGTGGTTCTGATCTGCTCATGAGAAAACTGAATTAAAGATTCTCACAGCACCTTTCTACAAAATACCGGTAGCTAGTAGCCTCACAGGAACAAAATCCTCTCTACAAGATAATAGCTGTGACGAAAGACTTCATTCTGCATCACAGAACACATTCAACCTCACCACACAGCGACTGCAGAGGAGCTAATGAACTGTGCTTTTCTGCTGAGTTTGACATGTTGAAGAGGAAGCTCTGTGTGTGTGTCTGTGTGTGGATGTGCCTTTCTCTCTGTTTGTTTACTCACCAGCAGTGATGGTATCTTTCTCCTTAGCGTTGAGTTCTTCCACCTCAGCTCTCCTGCGCAGTTCAAACCTGCGAGCGTGTCCTTCTCGGGGCTTCCACAGCTCTTGGAGCAACAGCGGCTTTTCGTTGTCCCCAAGAGCTCGCAGGCACTCGGTCCGCCACCCGCCTCCCCCCTCCAAACGTCCGATCACATCACACAGCACGTAGGAGCGGGCTGCATCCTTGTTGAGCGAGTAACGCTCCAGCGCCTCTTTCACAAGTTCCTGAGCGCTGGAGCGCGGAGTGGCCAGGACGCTCTTGTAGTTGGCACCAGCGCAGATTTCATCTCCAAAGATCTTCAGCACCCCGGGGGCTGAGCTCTGGGTGGAGAGTTCGGCTGGGTCATCCACGGGGCGCTCTGGGGGCTCGGTTGTGGAGCGCCGGTCCCCTCGGGTGTTTGTTCCAGCCTCTGCTGGGACGCGGTCTCTGTAGCTCAGAGTACGGTACAGGACCTGTAGGAGCAGGGCGTTTAGTACATTATGCTGCATCTTTAATATTTGATGTATTACATCACTTTATTTGTAGCTGACCTTTCACTTAATTTAGTCCAATAACTCTTTAGCTTTACACTACATTGTTAGATGGTTAATTGAAGGCGTCTTGGTAGATGGTAGGAATTTGTTCTCTGTACTCTTTCTGACTTTTCTTTTCCTTTATTACAAAGAAGACGATTTTTACAATTATCCTGAACACTTGATATATAGTATAGATAATTAACAGATGAATTAGGGATAACTCTGCCTGTTCATTTTATTTAGCTTTATTTCCAAATGATATGCCTTTGTCCAGGCCACCCCTACCATTTCGTTGTAAATACCATATATACTAACTGACCATTACAAAAAAATACAACAAAAAAACTGCTGTAAAAACAAAACTTTTTGTTTTATTTGGAAACCAATCCAACTCTTCTACTCAGCCCAGCTATTCTTGCAGGGTTGGGAGGGGACTAGAGCCTATACTTTCAGGGTTCTTAGGTTGCCAGCCCTAGACTGAAACTTAAAATGATTGCAATTAATCATTTTATAGATATCAATCTGATTAGATAACTAAATCAGGTTTTGGGCTCACAGCTGAGCAAAGTGCAATTTGGGAACCGCAATTCTTTTAGCAGATGGAGGCCTATCCTCTGTTCGGATAATTATCATTGATTATGTGTGAGTTTATAACACTGTAATATTACCTGCCTGTTGCATGTCAGAACCAATGTTTTCCCTGGTAGTTTATCTATTTATTACAGTTTCTCTGTCCGGATATACAGTTATTATCTGCATTCTGTACGTGGCAAAGATTTGGGAATGGAATGAGAGCGGTGTCCTTCAGCTAAGAACAAAATTAAATATTATGATATGGCTGGAGCCATGGATGTCTAATCATCTGCTAAAGTGTATCATGTGATGTGATAATGTGGCAGACTGGAGTTGTATAAAATGCTTTTTTAACGGTTTGTCGAGGCCACTTCCCGAGAAGTGAGCCCGGTTGGTAGGGAGCTGCCTTCTGTAACCCTAAGCAACTTTTTTGATCTGAGAAGATTACAATTTCTATCTAAATCTGTTGTCATGTCTCATGATTATCTAATATATATATATTATGAAGTGTTATTTAAAGAGTTTCTTCCGAGTGATCTTTTTTCAGGAAAACGAACCGGAGTGAGAACGCTTCAAGGTGTAGACACAGAGCTTTCCTTTAACTCCACCTACTGTAGGGTTAGCAGACAGGTTGCAGGCCTCCAGATTTAACAAAGATTCAGACACTATAACTTTGTCAAATTCAATTACTTTGTAATGCCAAGTAATTCAAAAAAGCAAAAGAAAATAGTTTTATAAATCAAATTTGCTGTTACTCTGTTGGGGAGGCATGGAACAAAGATAAACTAATTAAACTTACTGATATTTGACCTCAGTAGTGTTTTCTAACTAGAAATTACACCATATAGGTGAAGAGATGTTAATATACCTGTGTGAAGGTCCTGCTCTGCCGCTTTAGGCGACTCTTGGATGGCAGGGACATGCTGGCCCCGGAGGATGAACCGTAGAACATGATGATGTTGTTGGCTTTGCAAACTACAAATCTGACAGAAGACCATGATTAAATAAGAGATTATGGATACCTGGGGATTTATAACACACTGTTTTTAATTATGTATAAAATAACAGCTCTTCTATGTAAAATATATCCGTCCTGATGATGGAGTGATAAATAACAAAAGCTTTTGTAAGATGAGAAGTGTACCTTGACGTTGCGTTTTATCTCTTCTGCATGCAGGACCAGCACCAGGAAAAAGGTCACAGTTCTGGCTCAGGCAATTTGCATTTCATTTCACTGCCACATTTCTCTCTGGAAAAGTTGATAAAGCACCAGTCACCATTAAATCAAAGTATCCCTGCAGCAATTTTCAAAGGTTTCTTTCAAATTAAAGGTCACATGGTGTCGATTTGTTTTCAAGTTTTTAAGCAACACTGCAGAACTTTTGACACAACTATCATCTTAATTTGAGATATATTCAAGGATTTTTCAGGTTAATATAACAATACCCTCTTAAAAATAAAGATGTGGTTTTCCAGTAGACACAAAACTATTACATCTACAAAAAAAGACCATATATTTCTTTATGGTTTCAGTCAGAAAGGGGGAAATGCATGATCTTTACAACTGATGAATTGCCAGCATCGTCAGGATATGATTAAGCAAAAAAAGCATCTTTGGCAAAAAAAAAAAAAAAAAAGACTTGGGCCATTATTTTAAGACTGTAACGATGCAGCACTAAACGCATACCAATGCTCTGTGTGGGCTACATTTATTAAAAACTTGCCTATGGAACTCAAAGTGGTTGGATTCTTTTCTGAATGAGTCATGTGCCCCAGAACACCACATTTCTAACGCACTGCCTTAAAGCGGTGTTACCCCTACAGTTCTAGGGCTGCAACTAGTGATTATTTTAAAAATTGACTTATCTGTCAATAATTTTTTAATTAATCAATTAATAATCTTATAGCCAAAGATTCTTTAAAGAAGATTTTTTTACAAAATGAAACCAGGTGAAACTAAAACTTTTCCACTTGTAGAGTTCTGGATAGAGAATATTGACAGATTAAAAAGTTTTTTTTTTATTTTAAATACGAAATGTTTATATATGTTTTACTAATTTGATATAATTACTGATCCAAGTTGGATGCTCTGTCAGCTAAAGGCATGTTTTAGAGTCTTTATACTCCAGTTAATGATCAAACAATTACTAAATTAGTGGACGATTATCTCCATAATTGTTTAATCACAATAAACCCCATTCATTGTTTCAGCCTTATGCAACTTCCCTTAAAGAGAAGAGCTAACTGAGCTCACTAAAGTTGTTGCTGTTAGAAAAAAAAAACAGATATGAAACTTACCTGATCAGACAGATTTTAGGTTCTCTGATGTAGGATTTAATCTGGAGGGATGAATGTGACCTTGTTTTTACTAATAACTCAACTACCTCTCAACCTGCAGGCCCAACCATACATTTCAAAACATTCAGGGAGACTGTACTGCAGTGCTGCCAGTTACTTTCAGGTGTGCTAAACCTTGTAGTAACAGATCTAGGGACCCCAGAAGCAAAGCTTTACAGTTTTGCTTTAAGAGGAAAATCCTAATCAAGCCAAGCTAACTTCACAGTTGACTAAAATCTGTTAATTGATAATACAGCACTCATTGGTAGTAACGTTACTGAACAAAAAGATATACAACACAAATACCATATTTCATTTATATATCTGCATTTATATTTGTGTTTTGGGGGGAAGGTTTTTGACCCAATAGAAAGACATGTGTAGCATAGCTTACTTTAAGGTGATTTTAAGAGCCAGATACCATTGTTGTGAGAGAAGTGAATGTGCAAACAGTTTGACTGGTGTGACAGATGGCTGTCATTGAGATGTTTTGACATCTTTATTACTAAAGAGCAGGGGTCTTCAAACCTGGTCATCAGGACCCACTGACCTGCATGTTTTACTGGTTTCCTGCTTCCACACACAAACTGAATAAATGTGATTAAGAGCCCTCCTTTGATGGCGACTTAGAAGGAAATGCTGTCATTTGATTTTAGAAAAACAGACTAAATGTCTGTAAAGAAATGAGACTTTCAGCTTCTTCCACTCTCTAACATATGTATCAGAACTATGGCATGGATTTATAATAATTATTAGTAGCATAGCTTTAAGGGGAAGAAGTGCCAAAGCACATCAAGTCCATTACTACAATGCTGGTCAGAACTGGAGCAGAAATTACATCTACCTAAATCCTGTCAGAAGTTTAGTTTTTTCTTCTCATTGACTAATTCCAGTCAGACTAGGCTAGCAGCAAAGTGCTTTTAAAGGCCTATGCAGAGAGTCAGTATGTCTTGTCTACAACATAACGGTCCTCCATTCATATATTTTATTATTTATCATTCCACACAATTTCAGCATTTTGTTCCAATCATTTTATTAATCTTCATTCACCGACTTTTAAATTAAAAAACAGCACAGCATGACCCCCAGTTCACTTAATTAAATTAACGCCACACGACAACTTGTGAAACACGCTTGTGACAGCATTATGCTGTGTAGCTGTTCTTCACTAGAGACAATGAAGCTGGTCACACCTACAGTGACAACTCTTTCACTGAAGATCAGATATGTTTTTTGTGCTACAGTCCTTCTTTCTCCATCACATAGTCGAGGAGGCATCCTGGGACAGAGTTGGCATTCCTGATGAGCTTATCTAACTGCTTCCACTAAGATGAAGATAAGCTGATGCTCTAACAAACTAGGCTACTACAACAAGATGGCTGATCTCACCATACATCATCATGAGGAGAACCCCTACCCTTCATATGATCAAAGTCTGCTAAGCAGGTAGACTCTGTACAGTTCATTGTTCAGGTGAGCATCCAGATCCATCAACATCCAGACAACATCAGAACATCAAAAAACAAAAGTTAGAACAGTAAATTTACAGTCATATGTTTATATTACAGTTTTTGTATATTTATTTATTATTATTTATTTTTTTTACTATTTTTCAAGGCTGCACTTTTAAAAAAGATTAAATTGTCCAGAGAGCTGTTCCAAATAAAATTTATTTTTGTTTTACACTTGTGTAAACAAAATGACAATTCAAATCTGTCTAAGTCTATGTCTAAGTCTAAGATACTTATATCAGTTAACTATTTTAATGTCAGTTCCCTGGATATTCATGGTGGGTCTGTACCTGCAGGATTCCACATGAAGCTCATTCATTTTTACAGCCATCAGGAAATGGTTAGGTTATTATATTGATGCTAGTTTTTGCACAGTTTCTGCCTTAGTCACTTAAATAACTGTGATCACTTTAGCACCTTTCTGGTGTTGATTCTATTTTTCAAAAATCTATTACTGTAAAAATATCCATCGCTGTTTATGGAATATTTGTTTTCCAGGTGCACAGTATCTAAATTGTAAAAAAACTGTACAGTACAGTATTTTATTTGTTGTTGTTGTTTTTTTTACTCTGTCACTTCTTCTGTTAATTTTATACACTTTTTAACGTTGATATTTGTGTGACCACATTTGCTATAATCTTTTGCTGCTGTAACACCACAATTTCAACATTGAAGGACAATAAAGGGATTTTCTATTCTATTCTATTCTATTCTTTTCTATTCTATTCTATTCTATTCTATTCTATTCTATTCTATTCTATTCTGCTGTAACCAGTCTACAAGTCCTGCATTCACCACCTTCCTCTGCTCTTTAGTTTTTGTTGCACTTGATTTTTCTGAGCAAACACATTTAAAGGTATAGTGGATGTTCTTTTTCCGGTTGGATCATCAAAATAAGTGGTCCTCCAAATTGTCAATCATTCTGGTGATATGTTTATGTAAGGTTGCCCTGCGATAGACTGGCAACCTGTGTACCCCACGTCTTGCTCATTGACAGCTGGAGATAGGCACCAGCACAACTTGCGACCCCAGTTATGATAAGCGTGTCGGAAAATGTACGGATGGATGTTTTCATAAGGCCGTCCTAGGCGCTCGTCCCCATTTTCACTTACCGGCGGTGAGTTTGACATAGTGGAAAAATTCTAAATCTATTTGAAAGCAAGCTTGTATGAGCAATGCAAGCAGCAACTTTTAAACAGAGTGTGCATGAGGAGATTTGAGCTGGTGCATGCTCTCAGGCGTTAAATAGCATTCCCTCTCGGTTGCGGGCACATGGTTGCGAGTGTGCAATTTGGAGAGGTCAGGTCTTAAAAAATGCGAAAATCCTCCATTATACCTTTAATATCAGACAAAGAAAATTCGAGTTAACACAAGATTATACTTTAAATTAGTGTTGCACCGATACCAATACCAGTATCGGGCAGGGCCCCGATCCGGCACTAAAATGGTGGTATCGGCAATACCATTTTGAGAGCCAAAAGTTTTTTCAACTATTGTCACCCATTCCAGGTAGACAATAAAAAGTTCTACTGGATTCACTTTGTTTTAGTCTATTTCCTGCTTCACAAAGCAGCTTGACAAAGCCATGATGGCAATTATTTTACATCCAAGTAGTATGCAGCTCTTCATACATAAACACATCAATTTCAAACAGATGGTATCAGTATCGGCCAATACTGCAAAGCCAGGTATCAGGGCCAAAAATGGCATCAGCGCAACACTACCATAAATAATTCTTTATTTTTTGAAAATTAACTAACTTACACTACAAGTACCGGTATTAGAAAGTAATCACCCCCTTGCTAGAACATAATTAACTTCAAGTATCCATGTTTTAAAAATCTGAGTTCCATGTCAGCCACACCTAACTACACTAAGAAGGCTAAATACAATGGAAAGAAATTTAGAAGCAGAGGGGAAAAACAAGGGGAAAAAAGGTTGCAAAGCTTTTTATAAGGCTTCATACCAAAGCGAGAGCCATCAAAGACTTCAAAAAAGAAAATTAATGTTAGAACTGTATATACAGTATACACTCATAAGTTTATATTACTATTTTTTATGTATTTATTACTGTTTTCAAGGCTGCACATTATAAAATGAAATTGTCTAGAGCGGTTTTAAACGAAATTTATTTTTGTTTACACTCGTGTTTACAAAATAAATCTGTCCAAGTCTAAGTCTATCATCTACAAATCCTATTGTAAATCTTTGGCATCACCTAAAACAAACAGTTTAAACCGGAACATAATACGATTCACTACAGAAGAGTCTCTGCAGCCAAGTTCAAGAATTACTGCCTGCTATAACAATCCCACAATAGGTTGTCGATCTAGTTACAAATTGAATATTAATAATAGGCTTAGGGGAAAATTACTTTTCCTTCAATAATTAAAGTCCTGATTTGAAAACTGTTATTTGAATTTACATTGTTTCCCTAAAACAGTGTAGCATGCACTTCCTGCATGTTTTAGAGGCTGAGCCTGAATCAAATCAGTGATTCATTCAGTAGAACCTGATAGGATGAGGAAGTATATCAGGACAACTCTTCCCAGAACTTTAAATCCAAGTGAGAACCTGCAGCAAGCCTAGAAACTGATCTACATAGATGCACTTTATTTAATCTGAGTAAGCTATTTTGCAAAGGAGGAAGGATAAAAGCATGGGTAAAAGCCCCAGCCTCTAGATGCACAGAAGCCCAAAAAAGAGGGGCTTTACTGCAGCAAAATATAGCTCTACAAAGCACTACAACATGATTTTCTAAATACTGATGCAGACCTCACTTTTTCTTCATGACCTTCCCACATGTCCCTTTATCACTAACATGTAGCTCTCCTTGCAAACACTTAAACTGCATAAGAATATTCTTTAAAAGGGGAAAAATTTGTAGGTCAGCCTTGTTGTACTCTGCAAGAACTGCTCGGATAACGTGACTATTTTAAATGCCTGCTAATCCACAGTAATCTGGCCACTTGGCTACAGTTAAATCAATCCCAGGAAACCCCTACTGCGTCTACACATTTATAGAATATATATACGGTATACAATAACAACATGGCAGTTTATAAGCAATATATTTGTGAAAACATTTAGTAAAACAATGTGACAATGATTATTGACCTGCTACCTGCCCTTATGTTCCCCACCAGAAGGTCAGGGAGATAAAACCTTGGAGCTGAGTTTGGGTCTGCTCCAGTTATCCAGTGTCTGTCCGTCTGTTTACGACTTCAGACTCGCTGGTCGTCAATAGCAACCGCCTTAGCAACAAAAGAACATCCTCAGAACGGAATCCGCTGATGAGTCGCCAGGCGCGGCCTCTGACCGTCAGCAGGTGCGCTTAATGACTCTATATATTGACACCTGATCATTTACAGTTATTGGGAAAATAGTTCTCAGTTACACCCGGAAGGTAGAAACGTATTTGTATTAAAAACCTCTCTGAGGTGTGAGTTGCTTTTTAAATTGAATTAGGTTAGCTGGTGGAAAAGTTGAGTGCCTCAGCAGCGAAGTCCCCTGGGAGTCTGTTGCCTGAAAGTACTCACGTTGTCTGCAATGCGTGGCTCCACGGTGCTGCCGGGGAATCCTTGGCTTCTCTTTCATTCCCTCGGTAGAAAATCCCCAGCAAAAAATGGAGGGGGGATACACAGACACTGCTGCCCAGTTTCCAGCGACGCCTCTCCGCTTCGGGTTCCCATTTACATCCCTCTCCGAGAAAGCTCCGCTAATTTAAACAGCAGCCAGCCCCGATGGGTCCCGGTTCGCTTGCGCACATCTCCACGGAGTGTCCGGCAATGCCCACACTCCTATGGTAACCGCATTCCCACATCCACAACGGCTCGCTGCCGAACCTAGGCGAAAATAGCCGAGCTCTGCACGAGCCGTCATCTAGATACACCTGCTGCGGTTTGAAAGGAGGGGAAAGTGCGCCCCCTGGCGGTCATTTCTGGAGCCATTACAACCCCACCCCCGGCGTTAGACAGCAGAGAACTAAAAAATATCAGCAGGGTAGAAACCTTACCCCAGAAAATACCACTGGTACGGAAGAGGATTAGGGCCACTGAAAAAAATTAGAAAAAGTCAGAATTCTGACTTTAATCTCAGAATTCTGACTTACATCTCAGAATTCTGACTTTTTTCTCAGAATTCTGACTTTAATCTCATAATTTTGGATCTTAATGTAGATGAGCACTATGAAGGAAGAGATGTGGGAGCACTCAGCTTCACTGACAAAGATGTGAGTTGTTTGAGAGGGCCAGTGACACATTGGTGGAAAATGACGGAATTAGGTGACTTTTTACGTGCCTGAGGCGTCCTAGGTGATGCTATTTCATTAATTAAGGTGATTAAAACAAGAGAGCTAGTTCAGACTTTAAAACAGACATGGCAAGTCAGAATTCTGACTTTTTTCTCATATTATACTGAGATAAAATGTAAAAATCAGTCAAATTTTTTAACATTTTTTCAGTGGGCCTAATCCTGTTCCATACACTGGTAAGGAGGTAGTCTTTTTTTAATTAATCAGAAACGTTTAGGTTAAATCAGAGGGAAAGAAAACCTCAACATCCTGGATTGGTTGTTTTTCAGCATTAAAATTCCAGTCATAGCAGTCTTTACCTGTAATAGATGTTCAATCACCACTTTATATGCAGTCATTTTCAAATAAATGAAAACCTTCATTCAAATTAATAGTTAAGGGTTCCAAAGCATTTAAGATCTGTGGTATAAGTCAAATGAACCAAAATAAACAGTAATCAATTGTTTTTGGTTTTCTTTTTTGGAAAAGACTGCAGTTTTCCTACTGCTCTATATGTCTTTCTAATGTTTCATTGGTGCAAATATCAAGGGTGCAACAACCGTGAATATTTCTGCCTCTCTCTGACCTTTAATATGATTATAGTATAATTTCAGATCAAGAAACCGATGTTGTACATGTTTAGACGTGCCTCTGCTCCAGCACACCTGAATCAAATGATTGCATTTCCTAATTAACAGCTACCAAGAGATGCAGAGGCCTGTTAATAAATGTATTCAGGTCCAGGAAGTGGAGGCCAAAAATAAAACCCAGCTCTTTTAGCAAAGGCAGATAGAATTGGGGTTCGGTGATCAGTTTTCAGTTTATTGTACAAATTTTAACTGAGATCTGAATCTATGATCAAACGGAAACTTAGAAGTACGGCCAAAAGATCTGTAAATGTAATTGCAGCACAAGTTTTTTTGTTTCAGAAAAAAAAAACTATTTCACTTTGAAAAAGTACAGGAAAGTGTCTCAATCAGTTGAAAAGATTAATTCAGCAACATAGTGCATTTAAACAGCACTTTTATTATAACAGAGATAGAAAAGATAAAAGCATTGTGTGCATCAAATAGGCTTATCACAACACAAAAATGCACCAAAGATACAATAATCAAATTAAAAAGATAGAACCATGTAGGAAAATACATGAGCTTTTCTGGAACAAGGAGAGAGCAGTAGCAGGACAAAAAACACTGAGCGGCTTCACCTTCACAAAGAGTGTAAATAACATGAACAGATGTACAGTTTGTAAAATGACTGAGATTTATACAAATTTCTATGTGCACTACTTCTCTAGTAAAAATTAATACTATTCTCAAGATACTAAGAAACTAAGAAGATTAAATTAATAAAACTGCTTATGAAAATGGTTTTAATACCAAATATGATAAAGCAAGAATTAACCTTTTTTTTTTTTTTTTTTTATGTATCTAGAATGTGTCAGTAAACATTGATAATCTAAATATTTACAAGCTATTTGGTCTTAAGGACTTGTTTCAAATTAGCATCATTCAGAAATATAAGTATCATTTAAACATATTCAAATCTGCAATAAACATATATTTTCCTCTTAGTTGTGGAAATAGGTTTATAACCCTTAAGGTTTCCATTGATTTAGGCTGTTTCATTTCCATGAATTACATACAGTTAAAAAAAAACCCAATGATAATCATAACTCGTTGAGATTTACAGTGTTTATATCATGCTTTCAGGTTTGCTTTATAATTTATCATCTCATGATTGACTCACATTTGTTGTTAATTTTGCTTTTTAACCAAAAAGTGAGGTAAAGGTAGATACCATTTTTGAACATAGAGTTGCTAATGAAACATGTTAAGGACAATTTATTTATTTAATTCCTTATTCTGTCTGTAAAGGTAACAGAAATATCCTTACTTTTGTATTAAAAAAAAGTCTAAATGGATTTTGATCACAGTGTGTCTTTGTGCAAATATGAACACTTTTAAGGTCCTTATTTTGATTCAACTATTTCCCCTATCTATTGGCATCTAAAGGAAAAATGATATTATTAGAGTGAGCATTTAGTAGTTTAATCTGACACTGTAAGAGCTGCTGCAGTTCTTTAAGACAATTTTATCTTGCATGTTGTCCTGTTAATATACACATCCACACTATTACGCTTAAGTAGCATAGGAAAACATGCTACCAAGACGGGAAAAAATGGTAAAAATGCTTCAGCAGCTCATCCAGCAGCATTTGGCCCTAAAGCTTCAAAAGTGGATCACCAGGCTGCCACAGACTAGCCCACCACAGCTCTCAGTGAATTATCTGCTTCAGAATTAACCTGACTATGACCAATAAAAGCAATTCCTAATCTTAGATCAGCCTGTGCTGCTTGCTCCATTGAATATCCTGTCTCCTTAGGATGCTAGATGCTTGAAACTGATGTCGAACTGGACAACCTGAAATACTTCTCTGATTAGTTTGGCTAATTATATGACTGATTTGCAAAACTAATAGATCAATAAAGTTATATTTCTGTTAGTCAGACTATTCTTAGATGGCATAGCTCATCCTGATGCAGCAGAAACCAATTAATTCCCTACAATTAATCCTATAATACAAGCAACAGCCAGTAATTTGATGCTCCACAAAATCTCCATTATTTTCCTGACATTTAGTCTACTTTAGCATATGCTGTTTGTACTATTTATGATTTGTTTATTTCCTTTGACTGCTTTCACTCAAGACAATAGCAGTAATCATCTAAATCACTTCAATGGCTTGTTTTCCTGTCTTTCCTACAGTATTTTAAAGACCTTCTTATAGAGATTAGCCTAACATTTAAACCACAGAAAGAAAGAAAGGCATGGATGACTTATTCAAAGTTCTTCAAAACTCATTTCTTCAAGTACAGTATATTTGAAAATTATTTTATGATAATTATTTTAAGAAATGACTGTGGCGTCAATAATTTTTTCCCCCTAAATATATTTACTGATTTCAAAATTAAGATCTTTCCCCTTATGGCAGTGTGAATATATGCTACTGAGACAATAAATGAAATTATTTTAAGGCATTTTAATATCTTTATAAGCGGTAACACTGTGTAGGTAATAACTCTATAAAGCCTCAAACTTGACGCTATTTCTGACATTTTGAATTGAAAAAGCTTCCTGGATTTGAAGCGAAACGTCTTCTGACTTGGAAACAAAGTCCAGTGGATTGTTTTTTTTTTTTTTACTTTTTTGGGAATGACTATGACCTGGATGACTGAGAATATTCACCAGCAGATTCGATGGTCCCTAAAATCCTGAGTGTCAAACAACTGTGAAACATGACCAGTGTCACTTGTTGGTTTTTTGTTGTTTTTCACACCTTTAACTATTAGATTCCCCGACCTTTTTGGTCCTCAGCCACATTTATTAAACTTTACAATGAAACGCCGAGTTAGAGAATAGCAAATATAGATATTTATGTGTTCAACGTTTTCATATGTAAACTATAGGTTTTCATGGGCATTTGATGGTAAAATATACCCACAACCACATTCAGGCAAGTAACACATACAAACACACACACTCCTGAGATGCCTTTATATTGGGAGAGATTGTTTAAGAATAATATAGCTTCAGTTTCCTTTCAGATGAGACATTTTCTTAATCATGGTAGCATGTGCTATCAGTACCGGCAGTAATTTAGCCCTCTGGCAGTGATGAGTCAATTGTGTTTCAGCATTAACCATGTTGCTAATCATTAGTTTTACACCTATTTTCAAGACAACGAACACTACACAAGAAAATATAATCTCTGTACAAATGATACTGAAGACATTCCGGCTTGTAAAACCTAACAAGCAACAGGAAACTGTGATATTCAGCAAATAGACTACATATTCTATTGTTCTAATGATTGTGGATGTATAGAGGCTTAGTCTTTAAGGCTACAACCACAAATCTATGTTAAATATACATTATCAAATTATTCTACTCATGCTTGTTTTGGTAATTACATTAAGTCACCAAAAAAAAGAAGCAAAAAGTTTAATCAAATGTAAATTTATATGATCTAAAACTCTAGACTGTAAATATAAACCACTCATATTAACTAGGTGTAAATGATAATTAAAACAAATGCTTAATCTGCAGATGATAATCAAGGCAGGCAACTGTAAACATTGTCATCCTGCTGCTTTAAGAAAATGCTGCTTCTGAACATTGAATCTGGATGTGCACCACAGAGAGTCGGTAGCTAAGCACTGATCATAAAAACAAAATAAATTCTTGGAAAATACAGTGATTTAATACATTAATATAAACTGAAGTGGGGATTTCAGCTGTGTCCAAGTATACAAAGGTGCCACCTTAGGAAATAGGGATTCATTACAACGAGGTGATTCTGCATAATATAATAAAGTTTATACGGTATGTATCTGATTAATTTGATATATTTTCAGACTTAAAGGGTTCTAGGATCCAAACTTTTACTTTTATACATTGTCTAAACAATTTTTATATTGATTTAGAAAGTGACAACAATAAACAGGTAAACATGTTTATGCTTTCAATAAAGCTAGCTCATCTATGTATCTGCACTTGTTCGGCTTTGTAGCATTGCAGAAATGGTCTTTAGGATTATAATGTTATTCGAATATTTCTAGAATGTAAAATAAACTTAAAGGAACGTAAATCCCCTTAAAGGTAATTGTGATCTCAGCGCTGTTAACTTTTAGGTAATAGGGTGGTAGTATAAGTAATCTTCCCTTGTCTTGATTATTCCATCCAAGTGCCAATGCCATAGACTTTACATCTGAACTAGAATGGGTCCTCACAAAGTCTGAAATGCCCCTTTAAATGCACATTGTTTCTGTGCCTCCACCATCAGTCTCCGCCTTGGTATATACTTTATCAGTCTAAAAACCTTACAACTACCCTCCATTTTTCAGCAACTTCTCTATATGCACTATCGTTTTACCCTCTCTCTAACTTTATTGTACAAAAATACTTTGTGCAAAGGCAGAGTTTTTTCTTTAGCTACCTAATAAGACTTTTTTTTAAAGCAATAGGAGAACTTAGTCTGGATTCCTCATTTTTTTAAAAGCCACAGTGCCGCAGGGTTAGCTGGAGAGCTAACACTGTGGTGTTTAGGTGAGGGCAGCATGGTTGTTACTAGTTAATAGTCTGCTGATAAGGCCCTGTGGGTTGCACACCATGAATAAGCTTTAACTGCTGCTCAGAGCCTTCTCCTTACACCACTTACGACCTTTATATCCTAATACTATTATAGTAAACCACCAAAATCTCAGCAGAAGTCTGTAAGAAATAAAATTTTTGATATTAAAGGTCATTTGTAGTATTTCCTATAGTAGAATCAGTGTACAACCCAAATTATGTTTTAAAGTTAAAAAAACAAACAACTTATTGGACTTTATAAGTTGATCAGACAGATCCAAATGTAAAGGTTGTTTATCCTTAGAGTTCAGTCCTATATGAGGCAGCCCTTGAACTTGGACACAGCTCCCCCAGAGAAACTCAATCACAGGAGTCCATTCCTGTGAGGTCATCACTGATGTCATCTGGAGGTCTGGACCTGCCTGGGAGTCTGGGCGTAAAGATACTTCCAGATGGCGTAGTAATGTATGGCTGCTCCCACAACTACGAAAAGGTGCCAGATGGCGTGAGCAAACGGGACGATCCCATCACTTTTAAAGAAGACAATACCGAGACAGTAGCAGGCTCCGCCGACCAGCAGCTCACACAATCCGGACTGCTCCGGCTGACAAGAGGTAAGGGAGGTTAATGTGGGGTACAGCACTTTGCAATATAGTGCTGTAAAATACATCAGTGGGCTTACCATTGAAAAGATGACCAGAGCAGGAAAAACTCCCATTACTGTGTAACAAATTAACTCCATGAGTTTATATCTGAAAGAGAAGAACATATAAAGAAGTTTTAGAATTAGAACTGGCGGTTAACCTAACAACTTGGTATTTATTTGGAATTAAAAAAGATATTAGGAAATGAGACCCCCCACCTTTGGCATTTATATATTGCTATATATAAATATAATCGCAAATAACTTAGCTAATGACTAAGGTCTTGGTCAATTAATCTTTAAATCAAATATTTACATTAAACAAATATATTTATACAAATGCATATATAATTATGTTATATTTTCTGGTGGAAAGACAGATTTTCAGCTCTAAAAAGAGAGATAGCATACATTCATAATGGTCGTAAAGTAAAAATATGTATTTAATAGTTAACAATAACTAAAATAAATTACTATATAATTCTTCTTACATTTAGGGCCAAAAATGATTCCATTAATTTGATGCAGAGGTTACAAGTCCCATAGAAAAGTTTACATAGCAATTACACCCCTTTTTAATGTACTGAACATGCTGCACTTTTGGCTTTCCATACATGCTGCAATCAACTGGTCCTATTTGTAGACGTCTGTTTGTGTGACATGTTTAAATTGTAAGCACGAACTATTATGTCAAGATCACTTCTTTAGCAGATGAGGTACTATGGTATGATTGTTTATATATTCACCTCCAATGCTCCACCTGCATGATTCTGAAGCAGTGAATAAGGCTGATAGCCATGACAGTATAACTCAAAACAGCACAGTCTCTTAACGATACCAAACTATAACTTCATTTAGCAAAGATAAACAACAGACCCCAAATAAAATGCTCTTGGCTATAAGTTGGCCAACTGACACAGTTGTTCCTCCTCCTTGTCAGCAATCAAACAATGAAAACAATTGTTTACTTCTAAAAAGAAAACTTGCAAGTTCCAGTAAATCTTAAAAGTACATTTTGTGTTTTGTTTACACAGGTTTACACAGGTTTCACTAAAGTGTAGCATGAGGACCTGTTGACTGAGAAGTAGAAAACTAGTGAAATTCTGGAAAAAAGAGAGATGGAAATGGTTTCAAAGTATAAGGAGGTTGATGTAGTGTGGAAGCACTTTGGACTCAAACCAAAAGACAATATTACAATATATAATTCATTCCTGGGACAATTTATCATCCATCAGAGTTTGCTATCACCATAGGCCATTTTACATTTCAAACAAGTTCATACCCTTTTTTTTTTTTGCAATAATGAAATTTCCAATGAGCCATGAAAAAAATTCAAATTTCGGTCTGCTTTAAAATTCAAGATTTAATAGAAGGGCCCCTGATAGCTTGGGGATGCTAAGCAGAGGCTTAGATCACTTATGACTTGGGTTGGCTTTAAAATACATATTGGAACAAAATCAGATAAATCCACCTTACCACCCAACCATACATACAGGTTCATCACAGCTTCAGCATAAATGTGTATAGGGCCAGCACACCTACTTCTGAATGTGGTTTGCCTCTGTGCTTCCCAGAACCATGACTTATATCTCTGGTTTGTCCTTGTTTACCTGTAGAAAATGTACTAGAATTTATGAACTGATATGACACTCAGAAAAAGGCAAGCGATAGAGACAGCAAAATACAGCTGTGAATCACCAACTGTTGGGATTTATGTAGTTTTTAAACTAAAACAGAGCTGAGAGGAACGCCATCATTCTGTTCCATGATTTTAATCCATTTATGCTTATCAAAAATCTCTATTAGCAAAAGACTCAAATAGACTTAAAGTTATTTTCGAAAAGGGAATAGGGGTCAAAGCTTAACTAGTAGTATATAGGGCAGGCCCCTGCTTAAAACCTTTGATGACTCTGTAGTGGCATCAGCCCTCCTCTATTCTGTCATCTGCTGGGCCCCTGGCAGAGCAGACCAGGACAGAAAGAGACTGAACAAACTACAGTAGTTAGAAGGGCCACTTCTGTCCTTCTGGACTCGGTGGAGGAAATGGCTGAGAGGAGGGTGCTGTCCAAGCTTACATCCATCATGGTCAACACCTTCCACCCTCTGCGCTTGTCTGTAGAGGAGCTGAGCAGCTCCTGTAAAAAAGATGGCTACCGCAGGTCATTCATCCCTGCTGCAACCAGACTCTACAATGCGAAACCACAGCGACAATAACTTCTGCATGGTATAATGTGCAATTTACTATTTGATACCCTACTAACAGTACCAAAGGCAGTGCTTAGCAAGAAGGAGGGGGATGCAAAGTGATCAAGGCTTAGGATCTTGGGATAATCTTTAAAGGGTGATAAAAAATCACTGCTAATGACCAACTTCTAAAAAAACAAAACGTTCTAAATAGATATAAACAATGTTGGAGGTAGTTGTCTTCCTATAGTTGTTGCAATACCTGAATAGTTGTTTATTACGCAATGCTTATGTACCTCTAACTGCAATAATGAGCATTTCAGGTCAAGCACAATTGCCTCAACTTTAAAAAACAACCATTGCAACAGGTTGAAATTTGGTCCTGCCATGTAGAAAACATGTAGCATTAATTGCCAGTCTGACCCACATGAAGGTGTAAGTGTGGGAACAGACCTCTCATGGAAGAAGAAGACGTAGGTGGTTCCAAAAGATGCCATCACCCACACCAGCCAGCGCATGTGACACGCCCACGGACCCAGTTCCCGGAGGTTTAGCCTGTCAAAGAGCCAATAAGATGACAGCTGCCAAGCGTCCCTATGCAATCTGATTTACAGGCACCCACACACAGACAACAGGCCAGTATATTTACCATGGGGCGTAGGAGGCTGCAATGAAGAAGTAGATCACCATCCTGTCACACATGTGGAAACACTGCTCTACAGAGCTGTAAAAAAAGGTTTTGTTAGGTATCTATATTTTCTTTCAGTTGCAGCCCTTACATTGTTTTTAAATGTGTATTGTTCTTGCAAAACTATTTATACCTGCTTAACCCATTTTTTCATACTACCACCACATACGTCAGTCAAGAACTTTGGAGAAGAGACCAACAGAAAATAATGGTAAAGCGCAAAGAAAATGATACATGATACAATGATACAACATACCAATTGTATTGTGCATTTATATAACATTTTTGGTGGAAACATTTTTGCTTTAATCAAATGCAAATATTTATATATCTATAGCAAATTCACATCTAAAAAGAACAAAGTTTTTGCCCTTTCTTTTATAAATAGCTCAGTCTCAGTTAGATTAGATAGCATTGACTTTCAAGTCTTTCTGCAGATTCTTGACCAGATTCAGGTTACTGGTCCATTCTACCATTAATCTGCTGTTATCTTTGTAGCTCTGGCTTTATCCTGCCACTTCCATGGCACTTTTCAGTTTAACACAAACATAGAGCACTTTGAAGGTAGACCAGAATTAGATTTAAGGACCCGTAGATGCCATGGAACCCTTTTTAAATTGAGGAAGATGCAGTAAGAACCAGCTCTTGCATGGTGCAGACCAGTGTTTTGAAAATTTCTGTGTTAGGAACAATGGCCCTAAAGATTGGGACACTGGAAACATTTTGGATAAATCCCCTAATGCAAAAAATTCAAGTTCAAGGATTACTGTAACAAGCCTCCTTATGTCTGTTTTCATACCGGAGGTGGCTTTTCTTCCAGGCCACAGTGTGGAACAAGGTGGAGATAATGAAGAGCGAGCTGAGCCCTGCCCCGTACACCCAGGCTGACAGCCGCTCCCATCGGTCCTCTGACTCGTAGTGCAACAGTGAGCTACCCAGCAGGCTAGGGATTATCCACATCTAGAAAACACAAGAGATCAAAGGAAAAAACGCAAAAAGTATCAAGGTGAGGTGCTATTGAGAACATGATGATGGCACAACTTTTAAAACTAATATTATTAGTATAGTCATAAATGTGAGCGTTCTGCATTACAAACAGCTTGTACTGTGAGTGTGTGTGTGGGTGTGTGTGTGAGGCGTCGGGTGGGGGGGTTTTATGCATACTGACCGCATGCGTGGCACAGTTGGCAGCATGCTCGTATTCTGTGGGCTGGTATCTCTTGTTAGGAGGAACACGGTTGTTCATAAACCTAGAAATGATCAAAATTGGTCAAATTTAAGCAAATATGTACTGTAGCTAAAATTAAACAAAAAACAAAAGCTAAAATATGAGAAATCTGCTTATTTTCATTAGGAAAAGAATAAAAAGAAAGTAAAGGTCGGTAGGTAACTAAGGTAGACTTTAAAGTGAACATTACAAGGTCCTTCACATCCAAAAAGGAACAAAAGAAATGTTAAATCAAAAGAAAAAACAGAGATAAAATACTATTAAATAGGACCAGATAGAATGAAATACCATGGGCCAGAAAAATTACCGATTTGTGATCAAACTTTAACCTTACGCCACAGGATACATCTGACATTTTCACAAGATCCTTTGCTTTTGGTTTCTATGTTTCTTTATACATTCCACTCTGAAATTTGTTTATGTTTTGGACATTGAAGCAGTCTTATTCCTTAATAGATGTGGCCAGGAGTTTTGTATGATTGTTCTATAACTTCAACAGATGAACATGGCACCTTCAGCCATATTTCTATGGTGGCTGACAGGAGTAAAAGAGCAGCAAAGGAAGAAACAAGCTTCAAAAACATGCATGATGCAAACTCCAAATCACAAAAGCACAAAAAAAAAATAGAAAAAGAAAAATGCTGCAAAACAAAACAAGAAAAGAAATGAGCTTCCCACAGGTGAAAGCAGCAAACATATAAAGGAGTTGCAAACACATGTATAACACAAAGTCTGAAACAAGCAAACACAAAAAACAAATGCAACAGAAAAAGGCTGCAAACAAAAAATTCTATGCGCACATCATGGGATTTGTTTTGGCAGTGACAAATAACAGGCACCGTGCAGGGAGGCGGAGCTACGTGACCAATGGGGAGCGAAAAGCAGTGATGATCTGTACAAAAGGTGAGTTAACTGATTCACTATAAAGTCCACTATATATTTAGTGCACATATTCTCTAGGCTGAGGTGATTGAGGGATTTAGGGGTTAGGGTGGACATTCGGACACTGCCATAGTCTTAAAATATTGCAGAATAACAGCATAGTTTTGTGTTATAACCTATGTTAAAGTAACACTCTATTCCAATATGCTTTGTTCTTTGTTCAACTCCCTTTAGTGGTGTTTTTTTTTTTTTTTTTTTAAGAGATTTGCAGCTGTTTTTACTAACTGCATCATTTAATTACTTTTTTTTTTTTTTTTTTGCAGCATTTTGTTTTTGGTTGCATCATATTTTGTTTGCAGCGTTTTTTCTGTTGTTTACTTAACCGATAGGGTCCAATTTGATAAAGGACCCCCATTCTTAGGAGAATCAACTTTTTTACAAGGTTTTTCATTGGTTTTGTTTGCTTTTGTGGATCCTATTCATCCTAAAGCTGGTCTTAAAGGTCAAGCTCAGGACTCTGAGCAGAGCAGTCAGGTTTCTCCCACTAAACGTTTTCACCTGCAGCCATGGAAGTGAAATGGTTTTTATGGTAGTGTGACCCAATACCTGTTGTTTGAACCGTAGAAGCTTTGATGAGAAACTACTAAACTACGGTATAAACATCAAGTTCGGGTTTACTGTCAGTGAGCTGAAGAAAGATATACTTTATACCCAGGATGAACATCTACAATCCTGCTTGTATCTCATAGCTGTCGATGAGTCCCCACCTCCACTCTGTCCTTTTGCTAAGCAACGCTACATCATGCTTCAGCTTGTTACCATGGCTGCAGTTGCCTAGCAACAGTCGGCAACCACGGTTACCATCTAAACCAGACTTATGTCCCTATGATTACTTTTACAAATAGCTCGCACGGAGAAGCTTCTATGTGCGCACACATCAACTCCTGCAGACACGCACATTAAGCCTGATCCCTGGTTCTACGGCACCACAGAACAGGCCAGGAGGTAACCCCGCGGTGATGTCACTGTTGTCATGGTAACAAAAGAGCTGGGATCGTGCCTTTTTTTTTCTAAATCTCTCAACAGAGAACTTCTCGTTCGTTTATTCTCCCTTGCGAGTTTTTTTGTCCTGTCTAATCTCTACTTCCTCTGATAAAATTGACAAACAGAAAGCCAAATAAACAGATCAAAAACATAAACGTACACAAGCACATGCTGTTATGCTGCACCTTCCAGAAACAGATTTCATAAGAAACCTCGATTTGTCTGTTCCTCACACATTGATAACAAAAATTAAGCCGCCTTCAAAGGAAATACTAACCATGGCTTTAGATTATTTTTGTTTATCTAAATTACTTTATTCATATTCAAAGCTTTTCAGTCAAGATCGGATTTGATTCATTTTATTCTCACTTAAGCAGTAGAAATTTTCAAATCCAAAGCTAAAGGTCTTATGTTTACCTATCTTACAGGAGCATTTTCCTCTTTAAAAAGGACATTAAATATTAAAAGTATATTTCAGACAAAGGGCATCAATTTGCATGTTTTCTAAGCCAGAACAAGGCTTTGTTTTTGGTCCACTCCATAAAGCCCTGAACTCCATGCAATTTCTGACATTTTGAATTGAAAAAGCTTCCTGGATGAGAAGAGAAACGTCTTCAAACTTGGAAACAAAGTCTAGTGGATTGTTTTTTAACTCTCTCTTCTTCTGTTTCTAGAGTGACACTCATTCACAGCTATTAATATTAACTGACCCGACCCAGAAACTCCCAGATCTGTCCCAAATAAAGGGGCTCCTCCATCCAGAGGCTGCCTATTTCTTTACTGTGCCAGTTTGTGTTTCTGCTCACAGCCCAGCCGGTCTGGCTGGGTTATTAATGACTTTATCAAATCCACTGATAATTAGCAGGCCGCAGGCCACTCACAAAGAACCAGTGAGTGGACTGAGAGGAGCAGCACAGGAAAACTGATTCAGAACACCAGGGTAGACAAAAGCAGGGCTTTATCTTGTCTTATTGAACCAAAGAGATCTCCTTTTATTTGATTTCTAAGCATATTTGATGGCTGTGCAATGCAGCTCAGTTAGAAACACACAAATAAAAAAAAAACTATTAAAAACTATGCAACAAAGTCTGTACTTTTTTTATAAACATAACTCATTTTCACTGAGTGACCATAATATCATAAATCATAATAATGAATGCTAATGTTGTTTAGCATTTCCATTCTTTCATAAACCTACAGGACTGTAGAAGGCGTTGGCAGTCTCTCTAAAACCAATTAAAAACATAAAAAACATAAACATAAATGTTCTTGCTGTTATCACATGCCAATAACAACAGATTGTGACTGTATTTGTGAGATGCACACAAATTATTGGATAGTTGCATATAGGGCTGGGCAATTCATTGCATTTTCAATGTAATTTGTAAATGTTATTTAGCAAAACGCAATTTTCAAATCACAGAGGCACATATTTTAATCACACTGTATTTAACAACAGAAAGACACAAAATGTCTCCCTCAAGGGCTTTAAGTGGCAGTAAAAATGCTTGAGTTGGCTTTGTCGCCACACAGAAAGGTAGAGAGTTGCAGCCAGTGGCGCCACCCTAGTACCATCAGTTTAGCATTTCATCCCATTATCCACAGCCAGTGATGTAACATTAAAAAAATCACACAATAAACCAAAATATGAGTAGGCTAGGTGTTTACTTAAGTCTTTTCTTAAGTGATTTCTACAGGCAGGTTTAACACAATAGTATATTCAAACCCTGAAAGTGTAGGTTTTTAGTGGCCCCATCTGGCCACCCCTGTGAAACATTTCTGTAGGCGCCACTGGTTGCAGCTAGCAGCAGATCCATGAATGCAAGTAGAAGTTAGCCCTTTTTCACACTAAGATTATAGTAAAGTCCTGCAATAGTGGCCTCTGGTCAAGTTCTGGTCAAGCAAGTTTTTAAAAAAAAACTGAAAGCCTGGGGTGAAACATCTACAGAGGGGAGAGGCGGCCTAGTGGTTAGGGCATAGGGCTTTGAATCCTGAGGTTGTGAGTCTGATCCCCCACTCCCACAGACTGCCACTCTGGGTCCCTGAGCAAGACCCTTAACCCCACATTGCTCCCCGGGCGCCGCACAATGGCAGCCCACTGCTCCACAAGGGGATGGGTTAAATGCAGAGAAGTAATTTCCTTCTGGTATTATTTAAGTATAAAAAACAAACAAACAAAACACAAAAACAAGCTCTGGGTTAGAACAAAGGTATATCAAAATAAAATTGCAGTTTTGGTTAAAAACAATCGCCATCTTGATTTTTGTGTAAAACATTTAGCCCTAGTTATTTATTTACTCATCCTAACCGTCTCCAATAAGTGCTGTTTATATCCGTATTGCATGTGCATCTTTTTAGACCACATTTTCTCCATAAAATCTATTTTCTTTTAAAACCATTAAATACAACATTCTATGAACAGCAAAATTCTTTAGCAATTCCAAGACTGAGTCAGTGACAAATATTAGCTGGACTAATGTCCACTCAGGTTTCTTCCCCGTCAGTGTGTCAATCCCACCATGTTTTAGCCTTTACTGTCATGCTTGTTTATATATAGATATATATACAAAAAGTATCACCACTCTTCGTGGCACGTTCAATGCCACACCATTTCTCTTGGACATTATTGTAGCCATTGACAAGGCCAATCAAATAAGGCTTTTTTATGTGCTTAGAATTATTGTCTGGCTGCATAACTATAGTTTTATTGAAAGAGTTAGTTTCCAGATCATTTTACATAATACATTCTAATTTTTCAAAAAGCTCATGATGTTTTTCTGCGACAGTTAAGGGGCCTATTACAGATAATAAAGAGAACATCATGTTTGATTATATTGTGGTCTGTCATTGACATTTTGTGTTAGTTTTATGTCTGTTGTTAATTAATACAAAGAGAATATCTTGAGGATACAGTGAACCCTCGCTATAACGTGGTTCACTTTTCACGGTCTCGCTGCTTCACGGATTTGCATCATGCATTGTTAAACTTTATTGTCAAACATATTAATGGTGGCATGTCGGTTTATAAGGATCTTTTGGCCCAGAAGAAAAAAGAGCGACAACTACTGATAACTATGTTCTTCTCTCCAAAAAACACACCTGCACCGCAGGCTTTAAAAGAAAAAAACGCCACAGAGCAGAGTCAGGATGCAGCGGCTCCGTCAGAACAGCAGTGAAATACTGTACTTTATTTTTTTACTGTACTGTATTTTTTTTCATAATCATTTTTCATTTTCTCCCGTTCCAATCCGTCACGGTGGGGCGGTGCTGATCCCCGCAATATTAACCCTTCATTTCGTATTGATGATTAAAATTATTACTTATTTATTTATAACTATATTATTTTACAGTACAGTACAGTAGTTATTTGTAAAAAAAACAAAAAAACAGACAACAACAACGTTTATACCGTACTTTTATTTGTTAAACAAATGCTTGGGCCTGTAAAAAGTTTTTGTTCCTTGATTTCAATGGTGTATGGAGTATTTCATTGTATAATAACTGTAAAAAATTAACGGTTTCTACTTCACGGATTTGACCTATCGCAAGTTCTTTTTGGAACATAACCCCCGCGATAAACGAGGGTTTACTGTAATCAAGATGTTTGATGGCCAGTGTGGGAATGGGATTTTTGTTCTTTTTGTTGTGTTCTCTTCAGTTTGCCAAATTCTGAGCACTGACCTTAAAGGTATAGTGGAGGATGTTCTTTTTCTGGGTGGATCATCAAAATAAGTGGTCCTCTTAACTGCCAATCATTCTGGTGATATGTTTACGTAAGGCCGTCTTACGTGCTTGTCCCCATTTTCACTGACATACTGGAAAAATTGCAAATCCTGTTTAGGAAAGTCAGCTTGTATGAGCGATGCACACAGGAACTGTTAAACAGAGCGTGCACAAGGAGAAATGGGCTCGTGCATGCTCTTGTTCGTGTTTAATAGGCGTTCCTTTTTTGGAGAGGGTACAGGGTTATGCATGAGCAATTTATTTATTTTTTTTAAGTTGCGAGAGCGAAACCCTTCACTATACCTTTAAGTAAAGCAGCTGAGACCTACTGAGCTTTAGATGTTGGGCTTAGCTCTTTTGTGATATCCTGGATGAACAGTAAATATAACTAATAGAAAAGTCCACAACTGTTCTATATTATCTCCAAATCCAAAAGCCTTAAAAGTAGCTCTGGGACTAGGAATGCACTGATCCACATTTTTTTTTCACTTCAATTCCGGCGATTTAATTTTGTTTCTCTGCAGATCGTAATACATTTTTTACTCCACAGTTCAGTTTGCCTTAATGCTATCATCCTTACGGTTACTGTTTTTAAAGGATCATCCTCTGTCCAAGCAGTATGCTCCATATGATTGTTCAGACACACATACTAAAAGGAATCACGAGATTAGGAAGGCATAAGGAAGTCATAAAAAAGGTAAATGGTGTTAACAGGAAAAATTTCATCCTGTGAAACAAATTTGCAACTGTGAGGGATCAAACTGACTGTATTCATTAAAACAAAGACAGATGCCCATAATGGGGTAAAACGATTTTTAACCTAACTTAAATGAACCACAACATTCGGTGGGGGGATTTAAGTGCATAAACAGGATAAATATGGTTTTAAAGGGGAAAAAAACTATTGTTGCATTAGAACAATCCATCATCATCATCATCATCATCATCATCATCATCATCATCATCATCATCATCATCATCATCATCATCATCACCGCCATGGAAACACATATGTAAACGCAAAAATACGCGTGTTTGAATATTACTGAATTTATTATGGCAGTGGGTTAGAATAATTCACCTACCTTACAAGATTCATTTACAGTGAAAATAAGCAACAGTTGACGGCAGACAGTAGCTTAATGGACTGTTTTTCTGCTGAGAGAAAAAGTGCTGCTGATGTGATCCGATGTCTGCAGCTGAGATTGTAAAGAGGAGATGTAATTCCTCGTTTCACAGGCGCCGTCCTCCGCTCAGCTCAGACGGACGCATCCCGACCGGCAGCTGCCTGGCTGTCACAGGGTCCGCTCCGGAAGTGTGGGCGGCGGGGGACGGCTGGAAGAGATCAGTGATGCTGCTGCTGCTGCTTCTGATGGTGAGCCTGTTTTCTCTCTGCATCCACCGCTTCATATCATCATCATCAAGACTCGATGTGGAGGGCTGCTTTTTTTTTTTTTTTTTTTTTTTAAATCTCTCAGGGCTACCACATCATTTGTTTAGAGGTTGTGATTCATAGGTGGAAATTCTGCATGCAGTTCCTGGTTACGCCACATGATGGGGGTGTAGGCATATTGTTAAAAGGGATTAAAAGGGAGATATTTTATTTTTCCAAATGTAAAAAAAAAATGATTTAATGCGTTAATTA